AGCTTTGCTTCAGTCACTAGCAAAACTTGGCAGGGCGTCTGCACCTTTGAACGTGTTTCCTCTGTGAAGGAAAGTGGTGTGCTGATCCCAGGGGGTTTCTCCTCTCCCAGCAGGTGTTAGTTGCCAATTGCTTCCCCCTCCCGCCCCTTCTCTGACTGTGATCAATCACATGGCTGTATCCTCTTGACACAGTGGATGCTAGCACGGCTTTGCTCCCTCCTCTCACCCCCCCAAGCCCTGCTTCTTGATGTTGGCTTCTCTGGCTGGGGCACTGAGTTTGTTTGCTTTCAAGACAAATGGAAATATGTGGAAGGGAGTCCTGTCTTCACCTTCTGCTGTTTATTTTCAAGTCAAGGTTGTAGTTTGAATGTTTGCTTTCATTGACAGCTCCAGCATGTGCTGGCCTCCAGTTCTGTCTTATCCCTGCCTGACCGCTCTGCACAAATGTTTGTGCTGGCACAAAAGCATGAATGGGAACACATGTTTGGGTGTAGGGAGAGGAATGGGATTGCTTCTTTCGGCCAAAGTGCCAGCTGACGTTGGCTAAAGGTCTTCTGTCAAAACGACAGCCTGCATGCGCTCAGATAAATTGGCACATCCGAGAGGCTGCGCTCGGCTGTGGAGTGGGGCTGCTGGGGAGGGGAGGGCTGGCGGATGGCAGAAGTGAAGAGCTGGCCTCTGGGGGTGGGCTGCTGGCAGGACTGGGGGAGCTGGTGGACTGGGAGCCTGTGGCTGGCTTGGAGGATGCCAGCAGTGGCTCTGGCCTGGCAGAGGGAGAGCAGGAGAAGAAGGAGGGTGCTGAGCTGTGGGGACCTCCAAGGTCAGACTGTGGGCAGAGTGGCAGCATCTGGGGGTAGAGGTGGCAACCCACAGCCATAGGGCAGTGCAGTGGCAATAAACACGATGAGCATGGTCAAAGGGGTGTGGATAAGCTTAACGTGTTCCTTCTCCCATGATGTCATGGCTTGTGGAGATGTTAGGTGCCTGTATCTCCATCCAGACTTGCCAACGGCACACACGGCATGTGATGAGAATGTGTGCTGCCCTCCATGCCCCAGGCTGGGCTGTGATTCTCTGGTAAGCACTTTTCTTTCAGGTGATAAGGTTTGAAATGAAGGTTAAGAGTCCAGCTGTGTGCCCCAGGATGGTTAGGAGTGCAGCAGGTCCACAGTACGCAAAGGTTGGCCATCCTGGAGAAAACTTTACGGTCTGGGTAGCATAGGTGTATGAGAGTGTGTGGTGCGTGGCAAGGCAGGGGAGCAAATTAGGACCATTTTGCCAGTGGCCAAGGCTGTAAGGACCAGATACATCCAAAGCTGATTACATTTGCTTTATAGTGCTGTCGCTCTCTGGAGCTGGGTTTTGGGAGCTGGGAAAAAGGGAGAGGCTGAGTTGAGGAGGCTTTTTGGGCTATCTACACGCTGCAGCGTGGGCTTTGGGCCGTTTGCACTGCTTCTCCATCTAGCATGGAGGCGATTCCCTGCGCTGCAGCGTGTGCATCGCTCTGAAACTAATTTGCTTGATCATTTCAATAAACGTAGAAGGGACGTCCCGGTGTGTGAGTAATGGGGCATTAATCCATGCCTAGCTGTGTTAACGGCACTCTAGGAAGGAATTAACGCAACGTAATTCATAGCCCATGCAGCTCTCTCTCTCTTAATTATGGGATATATGATTTAGGTCCCCCCTTCCGTGAGGGCTGCTCAGCCTCTTTGGCCTTGAGGTAGGTCTCTGGCAGATCTCGCTTCCCCTGCCCACCTGCTACCAGTTTCCTCCTGGCTCCTCTGCTCTTTGTGCTATGCAGGTTCCCAGTTCCAGCAGTGCCGTTGTCTGCCTGGCCATGAATTTTAGCCGTACAGAGACTTCCTGAGGCATCAGCACCTTTTTGGTGCTTCTGGCTTGTCTTCTGCCCCAATGCAGGTGCTGATGGGAGGTTTCCTGGGCAGATGCAAGCCCTGCTCCCATAGGAAGCCCTGGAGCTACACACCTGCTTGGCTGCAGAAGCTTTGCCTGCCTGCTTTTGTTTGATTTTTTTGGCTCCTGAGAGCACCACATTGCTGGGGAGATATACTTAGGTCTCTACTTAATGTCTTTCCTTTCTGGGTTAAATGCATAATGTTGTTCTGGATTTGTTTTTTAAATATCCTATAAAATTAGCACCATTCTCTTCCCAGCCTGTGTTTTTCCTCCTCTCAGACTGCAGCACTGTAGCAGCCATTTTCCTGCCCTGAGAGGGACCGGCGTCCAGCTCTCCCCAGGAGCTCCCTGGCCAGGGTGCCAGAGGCTTCATCATTCACCATCTTTTAAGGGACTCGAGGAGTTCCCTAGATTACAGCAAAGTGCTCAGATAGAGTTTGCCATGATTTTGGGTTTGTTTTGCAAATGGTTGTTCGCTGGAGCTCTGTTTAAACAAACGGAGCTCAAATAAGCTTTCCACTTCAGTGCATTAAAATCCCTTAATGCATTAAAATCCCCTTACCGTGGACATTTGGGCCTTGGCTGTGCCAGGTGCTGTATAAACAGTTATGAAGTGCTGGTGTGTGCCGTAAAATGATCACATCGCTTGCTTCCCCTCGTTTGTCTGTGAGTTGAGTAGCTTTTGTTAGGGGAGATGATTTGCTTGACGTACAGCCTGTTGCCTGGATGGGTCTTTGTGCACTAAGGAAGCCTGTAACTTTGCCCAGTTTTAAACCCAGGAAGATTGTTTTTACCCCTTCCTGCTGTGCAGTTGCTGCAGGAGCTTCCATTCCCTGGTGGGATGGAGTAGCAGTTTTCCAGCTGGGTTGGACAGTCAGGGAGGGCTCTGCAGTTACCGGGCAGGTGGAGAGCTGAAGCCAAAAGTGGTGCACAGGTTGTGCAGAAAAAAAGGGAGGAGAGAGCTAAGCCCAGTTGTCCCAAGTTCCTCTCAGTGCAGTACAATCTTCTCCCACTCCCATCACCTAACTTGTGTCAACGGGTAAGAAACAGCCCTGCGATACATTTGTGTGTCCATCTTGGTCTCTCTCACTCTTTGGGCTACCGATCAGTGGTGAATATTAGCAGCTTTGCTGTCTTCTCTTGCATTGCCCTTTGCGATGGGTGCCTGGCCTCCTGGATGCCCCTCTGCAGGGAAGGGTGCAGCAAGGGCAACAAGGGGGGAGTTTGCCAGAGCTTGGACCGTGGCAGGACCACTCAGTGCATGTATTTTGTCAGAGCTGCTGCCTCAATAAACACAAATATTATGGAGGGTATAGGCGTTATCAAGTGAGTTTTTATGGTTCAGGGCTTGTTTATGCCAGGGTTACAGGCTTTCAGCAGCTGGTCTCCCTATGTTTTTATATTTTGGTCTTCTTATGGTTGAATTGATAGAGTATTAGATTAACCTGAAATAAACTACTCTTGTGGACATGCATATGAAGGCACATGCAGCGAAAGGTGTGATTTTCAGTCAGAAAGTGCAGACTTAGCTGATCTGGAGATTTTTAAGGTCTGCTTCCGTGGATTAGTGGAGATCAAGTAAACTGTCTGAAGAGGGGTCATGGGAGGGATGGAAGGTGTAATATGGTAGTGGGTGAGGTTCATGCGCAGTATTTTCGAGAGGAGCCCCTTTCCTTAGTGAGCTCCATGTGGTGGTCTATCACGGCTTTGGCTGAATGTGGGACTCCAGAAAAGTTAGTTTTAGTCTCATGTCATCCAAGTGTGGGACTGTGCAAATGCTTTCATGTTGCCCTGTGCTTGGCACTTAATTTAACAGGGAGGAGAGCAGTTAGCGCTGAACTGTGTGTAACCTCACTCCCTCTTCTTCCTGTACCTGTTTGCACCATCACCAGGCTCTTTAGACTTTCAGGGACCTTTTATTCTTGGGAACGCCTCTGGCCATCAAGTTGTGTCTCCAGAGCAGAAGTGTAAGCCTGAAAGCCACCTCGTTGGAAGTGAGATTGTGTGGCTTAAGAAATCTGCAGTTAAGGGGCAAATTTCATTCCAGAGGCAAAGGGCAAAGATATCTCCTCTGTTTCTGGCTCGCCACCCAGGTGGCAGCTGGAAGGGGAAAGGGAGAAGAGTAGCTGAGTGCTGCTGAGATGTCTCATGAAACCATGGGGCACCTGATTCCCAGGCTGGAGGTGAGGAGGAGAAAAGGACACCTCCAGAAAGCTAAACATTGTGGCAGCTTCTGAAATTTTCTCCAGTGTCCAAATTTCTTTGTGTGGCGACTTCTACCAGCTCTCATTAAACAGTAGCAATTAGGAGTCTTAGAGTGAACAGTTTCCTGCAGACTTGGAGCTTCAGTGCTGTGCCAATAGGCACTGAGCTGAAAGGATGGTCCAAAGGGCAAGGTCACATCAGTAGCTGAGGGAGGGAGAGGCACTACTTAAAGGACAATGTTGGCACAAGACTGAGCATGGGCTGTCTGTTTAGGCTGGGAAACAGAGGAAGGATTGTAACCACTGGAAGAGCAGGTTTTTGAAGACTGTCCTTAAGAACAGCAGGTATGTGTTGGAGGGAAGTGCTGAACGGGTCTTGTGGTGGCACGTGATTGTCTTGGGTGGACCTGCAGAAGTTTGGAGGTCCACATGATGTGGCGTGAAACGCTCCCAGGAGTTCAAGAGAACTGTGATGGGTACTGCTGTCCTGGATGCTGGGCAGAGCTTGTGCACTGCCTGGCTGCTACTCTTCCTCACGTGCTGCTGGAGCCTGATGACTCTGGCAGCTCTTCCCTCCATATGTGCTTGTATATTTATATACACAGACACATTTGTAAGGCTCCCTCTGGATCTCAGTCTCCTCTCTGAGGAGACCAGGTGCTCCGTTAAGTCACTTGTTCCTTTGCTGGCCTCACCCTGCAGCCTGCTCAGTAGGACCTGAGCTTCAGGAACAGTGTAAGTGTCTCAAATTTGTCTCCTTGGTGTCTTTCTCTCCTTTCCCAGGAAGAAACTGAAGTGAAAAAGAAGTGACTGAAAAAGAAATTAAGGAACGATTTGAAGGAACAGATTCATTTCTTAACAAGATCAAGTTTGAATTAAATGGCTGATAAACAGATCAGGTAACTTTTTAAAAAATTTTTGAGTTGTTGGTTGTGCTTTAGATTTCTCTTTTAAAGTCTTTCAAACTTAATCCCTTTTGTGATACAGGAGGTTGGAGGAAATCACCTGATCATCTCTTCTGGCCTTAAACAGTTCTGATTCCTTTTCGGCTCCCTTCTTACCTGCTTTTTTTTCAACCTTCTCTTATTTTCTGTCTTTGCTATGTCACATCTCTGCTTTCTTCATTTCTTTTTTTCTCACTGCCTTTTTCTTTCTGCCCTCTGCTTTTTACCCTGCATGAATCTGTTTCTTTTTGCTTCCTCTTTCAAAGGTCAGCTTGACCTGCTGACTTCAGCTTGCTGACACCAAGGGAGCAAAGCCAGCTCCTTGACCATCTGAGGATGCAGTGCTTGTAATTACAAAGTCCACGTAGATGCAGCCTTGTGCCCTTCTTCTAAAGCCAGTCAATACTTGAGTGATTGCAGGAACATGAACTACCAATGATAATTAGTGACACTTAAGTGCGCAGCAGGAACTTAGGAGCACTGGTCGTGGCATATGCAAAGGCTGGATGTGAGTCTTCCCTGGAAATTAATTGGGATGCGTTTTCTGGATAGATACAGTTGTACCCTTAGCTTCCTAAGAGCTGTGTCAGGTGGATCTGCACAGTCCTGCACGTGGGTTTAACTTTCTGCTGCTTGTAAAGTTGCCCCAGATAAATGACTCCTACATACTGTGGGATTCCTGTGGGGTTTTTTGTGGTCCTCTTCTAACATCTACTTTTCCAGGTTACCAGCTCAGGACAGGAAGGGTCAGTGGGTGAATGAAACCTGGTGACAGAGAGCCAGGACTTGGCAATGCGTGAATGCTACAGGCAAGAGGGCTGCCCGTTCTTAGTGTTTGCCATGATTAGGATATCTTCCTGCGTGCCTACCTTCTGCAAATGAAAACAGTCCTGAGCTGCACTGATAACAAGACAGCATTGTGCAGTGTTTATGTGCCTAAATTTGCCCGTCATCAGTTACCCAATTTGGAGAGCACTTGGCACTCTTCTCTTACACCCATGAAGGGGTGTAAGAATCTCAGGGCATGATGAGATTCACCTCCTTGGAGCCTGACGGGTGTATGTCCCTGATAGCCTCAGCAGAGCAAAAGGACCAGATGTCTGTGGCCATTTGAAGCTTGGTATTTTGAAGGAAGGAGAGACGCGTCCTCCAAGATCTCCCCCAGCCCCTCTGATATGCTCTTGGCAGTGTGAACAGGAGCTTGCTGGCTACAGGGACTAGTTAAAAGGGCTGAGGAGGAGCACTAGGAGAACTGGGGTGCCTTTCTGTCCCTCCTCATGTTAAACTGAGCAAATGGCTTTATTTGTATGCTAGCCTGCATTGTCCCCATTTCACTAAGCCCTGCACACCTAGGTAGTGAGAGGCAGTAGCTGTGCAGAAGCTAAGTAGGACAGAGAGACCAGACACAGTGGATTCTCATCCCATGAGGGAGCAGAGAGCACTGAGGTGAAAAGTGGGATGACTTAGTCATAAAGGAAAAAGCTTTTGATTCAGGGTGCTGTGCCCTCTGTCTCAGGTTCTCCTCTGTGCCCCAAATGCCTCACCTCTCCTGCTTAGGTCATCTCTCCCATCTATGTGACCACAAGTCTGCAGTGGTTGCAGGCAGCCAAGCCAAGGTCTGTTTAAGCTTGGAGCATCTACCAAACCCCTCTTCCCTTGCAGCGTGTATCTGTCATCCCTTAGCAAAATGAGATTGATACTAAAAGACTAAAATCCACAGTAGCAGTTTGCTGCAAGGTGAGATCAAGGGCATTGCATTTCTGCAGCAGTGCATGTGGAACTTGGTCGCAGCATCTCGCCAGATATTGCTGCATAGTCCATCTGTACTAGTCTCCCTCTGCAGTTCACATGGGTGAACCTGCATGGTTGGATTCAGGTGTGATGGGGGTGTTGAGCAAGGGCTTCTCACCCACAGAGTGAGAGGCTCTCTGCAGGCCACGTTGCCCAAATTTTTGGCTTGCCCAGGCACATCAGACTATTCCCCTTTATTGCTGGGGTCTGTGCTGAAATTGGGGAATCTTTTGCACTTAGAGTGCCAGCAGGCAAGATGTTTGCCATGTGTCTGTGTCTCACTCCCACCTGATATAAACCCTGTGATGATTTCACTGTTGGAACAGGTTGAGAGAGGCAAGTGTCTGCCTGCCCCAGGTGTTTCAGGGACATTTAGAGAAGTGATAACAGTGCTGAGGCTGGAAAGGGGCACTGGTTGTGCCTTGCAGTCTGTGACCTCCCAGCAGTGACTTTGGAGCTGAATTTGGGGAGGCTGATGTGACCCTATCTTGAAACACTCTCCTTCCCAGTGGTGCCTTTATCAGGTCTCTAACCTCCTCCTTCAGTGTGGCTATGGGTTAAATAAGGAGAGCCCCATGATGTGAAGCTTACTGTTTGAAATTTTCCCATGTCCTGAGAACAAGTTGAGTGTAGGAGTTTGCAGGCAAACTTCGCAGACTGGTGCAAAGATCCCCGAGGCAACAGTCTTGAACTGGTGAGATCTTGCAGTCTGGCCCTGCGCTGAGCTCATGCACTGATTTGGGCCTGCCTTCCTAACATGCTGTGCTTGATTTAATCTCAGTCAGTACTATCTTGTTTGAGGATATGGGCTGAGCGCAGGTCTGTCTGCCTGTCTTTGGCATCTCATCTTGCAGCTGTGCCAGCCCTGGGGCTGCTTGTGTGTGTCGTATCCGTGCAGGTATTGAGGAGGTAGGAGCTCTGGCTGCGGAGAGCGAAGTCTGAAAGGAGTTTCTTGGAGTGTCAAGGTCATGCTTAGAACTTGTGAGCAAAGACCTTTTTTTTCCCCACCCTTCTTTTGCCTGCTTCCCTCAAGTTGAAACCCTGAGTCTCCATATCCTGCCTTTCCCTTGAGCCTGGAGCTGAGAGGCAGCTCTTTAAGCATGGCCATTTATTGATCCTCTCTGCAATTGCCCTTCGATGCGATGGAACGTGTTTGCAGAGCCTCACCCCACCATGCCATGGCCAGCCTCACCGCTGCTGCTTCCAGTGGCTAATGCAGTCTGTGCCCCCGTCCAGAGCATCATGTCACCGTGATGAAAGCCAGTGTGCCTGTTCCCCCTGTGGGAGGACTCAGCCTTGCCAGCTCACCCAGCTGCAATCTAGGACTGCTGTCAGCTGTCAGTTTAATATCTGACACATCCTGTGTTCAGGGAGCCATATCCTGTGCTTTATTGGAGGGAGCTGACTCAGACAGGATTCCTTTGTCTCTGTGTGTAGTGGTTTATTGAGCATCTAAGTGCTGTACGTTTTTCGTAATTGAATTTGCTGGGAACACACATTTAGCTGATCTGGCTTTCACTCAATGCCACTTGCAAGAATTCCCTGTGGAAACACAAAGGCGAGCGGAAAAAGCCCTGCGTTTTGGAAGCACGTGCAGCCAGCCAGGTTCTGATTTCCCCAAGAGGTATGAGCTCACATCTCTGCATCTGCGGCTGTGCAGGCTGCCAGTCCGGTGGTTTCACCAGACTATTGGTTTGTGTGTGTTCCCCTCGCCCTGGGCGGTGGGTCTGGAAACAATTTCCTGGAGCTGCAGCTGTCTGCTCCTTGTCTGCCAGCTGGGTGCTTCTGCTGGGCTCGTTCCCACATGATGGTAGCAGCTGACATGTCACGAACATCTCGTTAGATGCGTATCTGATTGCGGTGCTGAAAAGCATTTGCCAGTAAACCTGCTGGCTTGGATGCCATCAGGCCCTAACTGAAGTCTGTCCACGTGGTAGACAGTCCAGCACTGTCTTTCCTCCTCTAGGGACAACAGAAACCCTTGGGTCCTGGGGAACAGGGATTTTTGTTGCTCTTAGCGATGTGTGGCTTAGCTGTTTGTCTCCACTCCAGTCATCAGTGGTTTGTCCTGATGCTTTGTTCTGCTTTCCCCTCCTCCCCTGTATGTACAGCAAGGGCCAAGCTTTGCCTTGAGGCAGAGCTCTCTTCGTGCTGGGGGAAGGATAGCCTTGTCACGCAGCAATGTGTTAATTCTGGTCATGCAGAAGACCTCCATTCTTGCCCCTTTCCCTCCCCTGATGTTATCCCAGTGCTAAGACATCTGTTTCTCTGCATCTTGTCCCCTTACAGTTTACCTGCCAAGCTGATCAATGGAGGGATAGCTGGGCTGATTGGAGTCACCTGTGTGTTTCCCATTGACCTGGCAAAAACTCGCCTGCAGAACCAGCAGAATGGCCAGCGGATGTACACCAGCATGTGAGTACCGCCCACACAGGCAGCATTCCCTGGGGCTTTTGGTGGGGACTCCCTCCACTTTGTTAAGTCTTCCAGGTGAGCTCAGCATTTCTAGGAACTGGGCTGTCCCTAGGAAAGCCAGGGGACAATCTCCAACCAAGCTGTGCTAGAGCAGATAAAGCAAAGAAAGCAGCTCTTCAGGCTGCTGAGCACAGCAGGTGAGATCTCTGCAGAGGGCACATCTGTTTGCATCCCATGCTTGGGAGCAGCGCCTTCACTGCTGTCAGGGCTCAGGGCCAAAATGCAAGGAGCCCGTTCAGTTCTCTGCTGGGCCACAATCAGGTGCATGAAGGAATTTCTGCTTCTCTTCTGTTTCCATGACTCTCATATTGGAGGTTACTATCCCCTTCTTTGCTGTGTCAGTTTTAAAAAGAGGAAGCAGTCACCCATTCCCAGTCTAGAGCACTGCATGCAGACCTTTTGAAGGATCACAGGTTGACACATGCTACAGTTACCCTGGCAGCTCTATGTCCAAAAAAATCAAGTGCTGCAGGCTGTAAGAAAGGAAGGCATGAATATCTCCAGCCCATCAAATTTACCTGGGATTTGTGTGGGATGCTTAGGGCTGTGTATCTGCTGTAGGAATGTGCACCACACACAGCACAAGGTGCTTTATCCTAGGAACCAGAGTCAGGCCTTAGTTTTCCAAAAGTACTGGTGTCATTGAGGGGGGAGAAGGGACTGGGACTGATGATGTGTGTCCTGTTCTCCTGCCACTTTGTTCAGAAGTAGTGCTACCTGCTCCCTGCACCACCACACCAATATTTGTCTCTTTTCCTGCCCAGAATAATTTGAGGCAGAGTGGGAATAGGAAGGAAATGCTCTGTATGTTAATGGTTTTAGACTCCAGGCCTCCTTGCTCTAGCTGACAACATGTAATTATGCATGAGCTTAGGTTGTAGGCTCTGGTATGCCATGGCAGAATGGTGCTTCCCTTGGCAGTTACAGCACACTCTGCTCCCTGCATTGTTTGTGTGCCCAGGTGTGCTGGCAGGACGTGGTCTCCTGTCTTACCTTGCCTTTTTGTTGTGTCCTGCTCCTGCTGCTGTGGATTGCTTCTCCTCTCTGAGGATCGCTTCTCCCCCTGACCTGATAGGCAACAGCAACAGGAGTTCAGGCAGGATGGAGGATTTGTAGGCTCCCCTTGGGAGCGCATGCCAGGATGCCTTATCTTTGGAGGCTTTTAACCTCCAGCAGTTGAGGACAGATCTGCTCTGTAGCCAGGAGCTGTTGTGGGATGAGGTGCCATTAAGGAATACACAGGATTTACCCTGTATATTTGAGCTGGCTCCTCCTAAGAGTCTGCGACAAAGCGTGGATGTGAATGAGTAATGCTGGAGGTGTTCGT